TTGTGTAATGCTCCATCCACTTCTTCCAGACAAGCAAATTTATCCAACTACTTAACAAAACCTTTATCGATATCTAAATCTAAAGCAATTGACCAGCAACTAACAAAATTTATAGTAAAGCATTACCATCCATTTTCTTTGGTTGAAGAATCCGAATTCTGCAATTTAATTAAAATGCTTGCTCCAAACTATGCTATGCCATCAAGAAAAACAGTATCGAATAATTTACTTTTACAAGTGTATAATGACACTTTTCAAAAAGTTTCAAAAGATTTGCAGGATGCTACATCAGTAGCATTAACTACCGACGGTTGGACTTCAATAAATAACTCGAGTTTCATAGCTATAACAGTACATTTTATCAACTCAGAAACAAAATTATGTTCTCGACTCTTAGGTTGTATTAATTTTAATGAAAAGCATACAGCTAATGAACTATCCAACTTTTTAAAAAAAATTGCTCAAGAATGGAAATTAGAAAACAAGATATCCGCTGTCGTAACAGATAATGCCTCTAATATTAAAGCAGCAATTCGGTTAACAAATTGGAGGCATGTTCCATGTTTTGCTCATGTTTTAAATATAGGCATACAAAATGGACTCTTGCAGTTACAGCCAGTTCTGAAAAAAATTAAAGATATTGTAGAATATTTTAAAAGAAGCTCAAGTGCTCTTTTAAAACTTAATAATATACAAAAACAAACAGGAGTGGAAGTTTTAAAGCTTATACAAGAGTGTAAAACACGTTGGAACTCAGCATACAATATGATGTCCAGAATATTAAAAATTAAGGAACCAGTTCTCTCCACTTTAGCTATCATGAATAATGAATTAAATTGTATAACCAATCAAGAGTGGGAACTAATTGATTCAGCATGCAAGTTACTTGGTATTTTCAATAATGTAACAGAGGAAATGAGTGCTGAACAAAATATTACAATTTCAAAGCAAAACTTATATTATAGATTTTTAATTGACCATTTAAATACATTTATCTATGAAAAGAATTCTAATGAAATAATCATTCAAATGGCGTCTGAGATAAAAAAAAACTTTATATAACTATTTTAAAAATTTAGAAGATAATGAAATTCAAGGACAATCAATAATTCTGGACCCTAGATTTAAAAAATTTGGTTTTTCCAATGAAAATAAATTTCAAAATTCAAAAACAAACTTACAACAAAAATTACAATCCCTAAATATTGAAAATGAACCAGTAGCGGCATCCAATGAACACACAGTGACTGAAATTGCATCAACAAGTACTTCAGATATTTGGAAAAGTTTTGATGAACAAGTTAGTTCACTTGTAGGTCAAAACAATTCATCTGTTGCAAGTGTAGTTGAAATGGACAAATACATGAATGAATGTCTTCTCAGTCGTCACATGGACCCATTAAAGTGGTGGTCAGAACGGAAACATATTTACCCTCGGTTATATGAGATGATGAAGAGAAGATTGTGTGTGCCAGCAACGTCTGTACCCAGTGAACGTATTTTTTCTAAGGCTGGCCAAGTTTTGACACAACGACGAAGTAGGATGACAACTTCAAAAGTTGAAAAAATTATCTTTATTCAAGCTAATTTATAAATTCATATTTATTATTGTATTTTAAAATTTAAAAATACTATACAAAAAATATAAACCTACTTGCAAGTAAGAAGTAGTATGAAAAAGAGTACTATTTATGTTAGATTTGTTTAAATAGTTATTGTTAAGTTGCTCAAAATATAACAAATGTGTTGTTATAAAAAAAAATTGGTAATAATTTATAAAGTAGTTAAATGTTTGTTGACTGTTGAGGAATAATTATAATCTGTGTTACGTAATTATTTTATTTTACCTGCATATTGTTTTATAAATTTATATTTTATAAAAAGGTTAATACAATAATAAATAATAATATGGATATAGGTAGTTGTTATTTTGTTACTTGTTTGTTGTTTCATTCATAATAAAATATAAAATGATAATAATAATTTTTATGGATATGTAGTGATAAGTTATCACTAAACATATACCAAACTTACGTTCAATTACGTTCACTATTTCTACAGTGTGGTTCAGATCGACAATCGACAAGCATTGGTAACCAAAGATCCGTAACGATCGACGACCGATACGGCGATACGTTACAATGAGCATGAGCCGACTGATTCATATTGCAGGGAACAGAGTAAACGACAATAAAAAAAAAACCAATTGACCGAATCTTTCCGTTACTCGGTTCAGGAACGAATCGGATCTTCTCAACGATTCGTTCAAAATGAACGGGTCGTTCGCGAACGACTATAGGAGCTATGACTTGCTTCTCAGCTCCCATACTGAACGGTCCTTACTACACTTTTGGTCTTGCACGATATTTACTACTTACTACACTTCTGGTCTTGCCACGATATTTGCTACTTAGTACTTACTACACTTCTGGTCTTGCCTTTTTCGTACTGACTTAGTTCGTTTTGTCGCACTTCGT